TATAAGTATATATAATAAACATACAAAATAAATTTATTATATATAATATATTTATCATATATCATATAATATATGTATATATCCATGCTAAACCTTGTGCCTTAATGTTTTCAGAAGAATTATTTATAATAATCATTAACTGAAAAGAATCAAAATGTCTATCAGCTGGTGATTTCTCTAAGTATTTTTAGCTAAGAAATCCTGAGCAGTTGAAGCAGCTAGCAATGAGGATGAAAGCTAACAATTCTTCATCCAGCATGCCTAATGTCCATCACATATGAGTTTAAGAGGAAGTAGAAATTCTTTATAGAAAGAGATCAAGCAACTGAAGAAAAATTTTGATCTTATGGGATAATAAAAGATTTACAATTAGAGATTTACAGAATGGAAAACAATGACTTAAAAACTAAAGTGGATTCTTTACAGCAGCACGTTTTAGAGCCATTAATGTCTACTGAATATTTATTGAGATGCAGTGTCAGGACTTCCCAGATTTATTATATTTTTATCAGCAAAATTCATTTCTTACTATTAGTAAGAAAAATGCTCTGGGAAAATCTTGGGTTAAGCAAGACAATACAAAAAGAAGTTAATTCATGTTAATTGGGTGAGGATAATTGTGGAACACTAGAAAAAATATCCTCCTAATCTGACAATTTTGAGTTCTCTTAGAAATGGAGCCACCATTTCAGCAAGACGTAACAAGGGCTTGATCACTATGGTTTTGTTTTTGCATTTCTCTGAGATTTTGTGTCTTTTATCAACAGATGTGTATCCTTACAATAAAACATTCTATTATGGATACAATTCTTTATTGGTAACGCAGCATCTCTAATAAGTGCAGAAGGCACCTTACTCCAGGGAGCTACTCTACTCTCTGTTCCAAGTATATGATTCTTGAAGGGTTGCCAGTCACGGTACCCCATCTAGTTCATAAAAGTAGCTATGGGGTACAGGTCTGGCAAAACAGTTTCTTATCTCCTGACTACAGGGACTGATCTCTGAGACAGACACCACCCAAGCCAGAACAGAGGGTAGAAGTTATGTACAGAAAAAGATTATATTATTGAGTCTCTGTGGGATTTTAACATACAGAAGCTTGGAGAAAGTGATGTCTCTTTCTCTTGTGATCTATGGTGATAAAACAGAATAAGGCCAAGTGGAGGTGGTAGACAGCTAAGTGAGGTCTTTTGGTAAGAGCCCCTAGTTCTTGGCTTTGAGGTCATCAGAACTGCTCTGATTCCTGGAGCTCTTACTGCGATTTATTAACTACCTAACTATGTTTCCAACAAAACTATTTATTACTCAAATTAGTTTGAGTTAAGCATCTAAAACCTAACATGTGTAGGTTACCAACACATGTTAGGTTTTAGATGCTTAACTAATTTGAGTATGTGGAGAGGAGTAATGTTACTAAAGCTTGCTAAATGAATCTTTTTTCTGCAGATTAATTAAAATAATAACAATAAAAATAAAGTAGGAGGTTAAAAACTTCAATGAAAAAAATCTAGATTCCAAAAAAGTATTTTTCTTCAAAGGATCACATTTTTAAAATAATTATTTTTCTCAAGACTTATTTAAAATTCTAAAGCAAAAAAAAAAAAAGGTTAGTATTAAAAAATTTTAAATCCCCCACAACAACTGTTTATTCATACTTTCCTAAAATAATAAAGTAATATTTAGTTGCATGGAGAAGTTAAAATAATAAGAGAACGGAATAAATATAAATATATGAAGCCTTGAGATGGCTTCTTGATATACATTTTAAATTTTTCCCTAGGCAGTAAGCAATCAAGCTCAGTATTTACTGCACTAAACTACAGCAGGGTGTTCAAATGATTTGGGCTAGCCAAACTGAAACATAATAGAGGTTTTCTGAACAGCGTACACTAAAAAGATTGACAAACTTAATAGCTTAAAAGAGTGAAGTAATCCTGGAGAAACAGAGCTATTGGGGAAATAAAAACAATAGCATATTAATTTTCTCATTTAAAGCCATTAAATTAGTATTATGAGTACAACAACTCATGCATAATCCTATCCATTAACGGTTAATAAAACAAGGAAGAAGTAGTCCTATGCTGAAGATTTTTTATAGAACAAGATGAAAATATGATATGTTCTTCAGAAACTAAGCCATGTGAAAAAATAATAAAATAAAATAAATATATTCATGTATAGGACACATGAAAAATAGTTCTCTGTAGTTGAATGTCAGATTGTTAGTCATAGCTTAATTAGAAAACCAAAGTTTCTAATTAATGCTTAAATCTCTTAATGCTTAAAACACCTTTTAAAAAAGAAAGGCACTTTAAAGTTCTGAATTGTAAGATTAAAAAACCCCTAAGATTATAAGGGAAGTCCCATAACCAATAAGAAAAAAATTAGTCCACATAGGAAGTCCAACCCTCTCTGCCAGTTAGCAGAAAGGGGAAGGATTTATCCTCTCCAGATTCCTCACATTAATTTTTCCTTTTTAGTTCAACAATTACTACTTTAATAAACATTAAAAAATAAAATTAAAAGTAATTATTATTCATCTTAGAAATACTTTATAAACAAAGGAAAAGCTCAGAAAGCTTCTGTGTAGCTTCTCTGTAGATAGAACATAATCTCCATGAAGACAGGAATCTTTTTCCATGTCATACACTGCCATATTTCAAACTCTACATCCAGACAGCATATTATATAGCAACTGTTTAATATCTGTTGGGTGAGTGAAGAGTAAAGATATATGGACTCAATATGAGGTAGACATAGAAAAAAGTTCTCATTAAAAGCTAAACATACTTTTTAAAACGGTAGTAAATGTACAAAGTTTATTTTCTATCATGAAGACATTAATTTGTATCCACATTTTAAAAGTATTAACCAGAATATTTGCCTTTTTTGTATTTTTTTTTACAATAAAGCATATAAAATGGACCTGGTCTTTATAAAGATACAATTTCCTGACTTATGAACCACTTGACCCACAACCAACATATGAATATAAAGAGTTGGTTGCTCCGACCTATGCCTCTGCTTATTCTACCATAATTCCCACTCAGGATGGCAAAAGTACTTAGATGGATTTAGGGATTGACTTATTATAACTATTCCAGCCATATTTTGGATTAAATAAACTTTTTGTGAAAGGCATAAGAAAAAATTAATTATTGTGAGGCATTATAACTAACAACCACAAAAACACATCCTGTTTATATACTGGTAATGCCTATACTATTAATTCTCAGTTATTTTGGTGTTTGGTGTCAGATAACTTTAAATTTGGGGGAGCTAGTACTCCTCACTTTCCATTTCTATAAAATACCCAAAGGAGAGTTATAAATATTTTTATTTTATAAAAATAAAACTAAATTTATTCAAGGTAAAACATTTCTTCAATTACCTATATCATCTCTATTTCAATAGTTTGAAAAATCTGAAATTAACTGTTTTGTTAATGATTCTCTCTACTAGGATTTTTTTTGGATATCAACAATATGAACTACTTTATACCTTACTTGTATTTTCCTGTTTATATGACATCAATCTTAACATAATAACTTAAATGAGAAATGAAAGTTTCTAGATCCACTTAGAGTGAAGAAAACATAATAATTATTTCAAAATATACAAACCTTGTATTTGTTTAGGCTCCATTTTCGTGCTAGTTCTAGCTTCTCAGTCATTGGGTTGGTGATTTCATTCTCAATAGTAATAGTCCCGCACGCGGTTGGAGTAATCCGGCAATCTGCATTATTGTAACAAAACATAGAAGTAAAAATCAAATGAATATAAGTATAGAAAGAAAATTCTGTTTAAATTAAACTAAAGATTTAAAAACTAGTCTCTACAAATAAAAAGACTAAAACTTGCTGGCATCTTTGAAGATAATTTTGCAATTATCCAGAAATAATTTCTGTCAATTAATTGCAAATTATATGTGGTTTGGCTTTCTTTCTTTCAAATTTCTATTGTAATCGGTCTTCTTTATATATTAGCTGCTGTTAACCTCAGGTAAACTTTCACATATCATCTCATAACCTAAAGATCCTAAAACAAACAACTTTTGTTAATAAGAGTCTAGTATTCCTCATAGTAATCTTTGTTTCATAGTATACTATAGACTACAGCAAAAATGGGGCATTGATATACTTGAGGATTTGGAAATAGAACTGTAATTTTACAGAGCCATTAAAAATAATTCACAATTAATCTGAATTTGGATTGAAAAATACCTACAATAGACTTCCTTCTTTTTGAAATACAAAAAAATGACAGTAAATGAGGATACTAAAATACTAACAATGAATAATCATTCATTGATTCAAAAAATAATAAAGTATGACATAATTTTAGAACTGCAATTAAATGATTCATTTAAAGTATTTCTTATAGCATAAAAACATTTGCTAAACATTTGTGATACTGGTTTCTTTACACAGAAATGTTCTAATATATTTAAGAAGTACAATGAAATGATGAGAAGAATAAAAATTATAAAAAGGTTAAAATAGGGTCAGCAGAAAAATTTCCTTTCCTCAAACACTACTATTGCTGGACCAGTCTTTAGTACTGCTGATTTGTATTTGCTACAGTTAATGATCAAAAAGTGTGTAAAGTCAATCACTTTTTTGAAATTTACAACATTCTCATATATATGAAATATAAAATATTAACATTTCATATATAAGTAAATGTGGTATTTATTTTTTCAGTTCTTAAAACATATACCTACATTTCTTTGACACTCCAAGAGGTGGGGTCTATTTTGCCTTTCCTTGAATCTTGGCAAGTTTGCAACTGCTTTGACCAATAACATTTAGCAGAAGATATATGTGACTTCAAAGGCAAGGTCATAAAAGGCCATTCAACCTCCACATGATTCTCTCAAAATGATCACTCTGGGGAATCTCAGCTGTTAAGTGACAAGTTCAGTGACCCTGAGACCACTGGAGAAGGCACTATGGAAGTATTTTGACCAATAGTCCAGCTGAATGAATATTCAAATTGTAGTACATCCATATAATGAGTTAATACTTAGGACTACAAAGGAACGGACCACTAATTAATGAAAGAACATGTATAAATTTAAAACATATTTCATAAAGTGAAATAAATCATACAGAAAGGAGAGTACACTATATGACTTCATTTAGATGACATTCACAAAGAGACAAAACTATAGTCACAGAAAAGAGATTAATGGCTATTGGGGGCTTTGGTGGGATGGTGAGGTTAACTACAAAGTTATACAAAGTTAACTACAAAGTTGAGATTATGAATGTGTTTCATATGTAGATTGTGATGGAGGTTACATGATAGTATGCATTCTCAGCCCTCATACAACTGTACACATGATGGTATACTGTGTGTAAATTATACCATAATAAACCTGATTTAAAATAATAAGGAAACTATGTTGCAAATGTTGATACAAGATACTATTAAGATAATCCCTTGATTACTTTACTGAAGAGCAAAGTAATGACTTTCAAAATTGATTACTAATTATAAAACAATGAAGCTTTAACTCTTGTGATTTATTAATAAATGTAGTATTTTTGGTAGAATTAAGCCCTTTTTACAGTAAATATACTCTTTTTTTTTTTAAAAAAAGATTAGTTTCAGGTGTACATCATAGTTATTCAACATTTATAAACCTAAAGAAATGATCACCATGATAAATCCAGTAACCATCTGACACTACAACATTATTACAATATTATTGACTATATTCTCTATACAGTACTTTACATCCCCATGACATTGATTTCGTAACTGGAAATTTGAACTTTTTATTCCCCTTTACCTTCCTCCCCTCCCTTTCAAAAATTCTTCAGTTACAGTTGACTCAGGTCAGTAAATAAACTCTTACCCTGAAATTGTTCTTCTTCATAATCTACATCTTTGCTGGTTTCAAAGACAGAAAGAAAGGAGTTCTTCAACTCCTTAACAACACTTGAATAAACTGGAAAATCCATGTGGAGATCCTAAGCCACATCAAGCTTAGGAGCAACTGACTCCTACAACTACAAGTCAGTCTGGAGTGTTAGCTCTGTTGCCTAGCAATTCTTTATGCTGTCACAGGATTCTGTTGCTATGTATCAGAGGCAGATTTGGCACTATGTACTGCCATATATTTCAAATACAAAATACTTTCCTTTAGGAAGTAAACATAATGAAAATATCAAAAATTCAATTTTAAAATTCCTAATCTACTAATTAATCAGGAATATGACTTAAGCATAAAAATTGAGATGGCTACCAGACCATGTTGTCCATCGAATGTCAAAAAAGGTTAATTATACAAGATATTGTTAATAAGCCTGATTATGGATTAATAAAACAAAAATTATTCACTCTCAAAGTTAATTCCCTTTTATTTTGTGGCAAACCATTCACAAATCCAAAAAACAAAGGATAGGAACATTCTTTTATACAGGAAAGGAGGAGTTCAGAGGGACTATTGCAAACAGAATCCATTGGAGGAAACTGGGAGTTTGTAGTGTAGTGGCTTTTCACTGGCTGAGTTGTAACAGCCTTTCATTGACCAAGTGATTGCTTGTCAAGAAAAAGAGCTTCCTTCTTCCTACTTGATAGAATAGAAAACCATCTTTCTGTTGGAGATAGAAACTATGTCTCTTCCTGTTTAGGGTAACTGACAATGAGTAGAAGGGTGTGAGAGCTCCCCCTATAGGCCTTTCCAACTCCAATTTAAATAAAGTTTCTCTTTATTAATCTTCATAATTTCAAAGTTGAAAGATAAACAGTGTTGCTTTGGTTTCAAAAAGAGTGAGGTTAGCATTTTTATTTGGCCTATACCAGGGAGTGAAATGTCATCACAGAATATGCATATGATCCATTTAATGGATACTGTCAAACATTTTACACAATTGTTAAACCAACTCACACAAAAATAAGTTTATGAAAGTTACTTTATATAGTCACCAAAAACCTGTATTTTCTTTTTAATTTTATTAATGCTTATGCATAAGCACTGGTACCTAATTATTTTTGCATTTCCTGGATGAATAATGAAATCGAATGACTTCATGGTTTTTTCGCATTTGAATACTGGCTTTAATGAGGTGCCCGTTCAAGTTTTTGGACATTGTTCTTTTGAAGTTTCTATTTTTTTTATTAAATCTTAAATTATTGATATATTTTGCATGCACAATTTGTGCTACATGTATATTTTGCAATGATCTTCCCCCATGTGTACACATTTTTATCAACTTTAATAAAAACTCAATGAAACAGGTGTGAGAAGTGAATTTGAGCATGTTCTCATATATCTGTTGGTCATTTTCACGTCTTCTTAGGATAACTGTCCGTTCAGGTCCTCTGCCTATTTTTTAATTGTTTTTTGCTGTTGTTGTTGTTGAGTTGTATGAGTTCTTTATATATTTTGGATATCTTCTCCTTATTAAAGGCATTATGTGCAAATACCTTCTCCCATTCGGTTGGTTGCTTCTTTGTCTTGTTGATGGTTTCTTTGCTATGCAGGGGCTTTTTAGTTTGATTTTTTGCTTGGATGATCTATTCATAGCCGTCAGTGGGGTATTTAGGTCCCCTATTGTGATTGTGTTTTTGTCAGGTTCTTTCAGTTCTATTAGTAGTCGCTTTATATATTTTGGTGCTCCTTGATTGGGAGCAGACATATGCATAAGTATTATGTCTTCTTGACATATTTTCCCCTTTATTATTATGAAATATCCATCTTTGTATCTTATTACCCTTTTTATCTTGAAGTCTATTTCATCAGATATAAGTGTGGCTACACCTGCTTTTTTTTTCTGGATGCCAGTTGCTTGGGGTATCATTTTCCACCCTTTCATTTTGAGTCTATATTTGTCCTAGCAGCTGAGACATGTCTCTTAAAGGCAGCATATGGTTGGATTTTGTTTTTGATTCAATCTGCTACTCTGTGCCTTTTAGTTGGTGAGTTCAGTCCATTTACATTTAAGGTGATTATTGATATATGGGGTTTTCCTATAGCCATTTTACCTTTTGTTTTCTGGTAGCTTGGTGTCTCCACTGTTTCTTTTCCTTTCTGTTTCTGTCTGTTATTTTAGTTTGATGGTATTTTGATTTCCCTGTTCCTCTTTTTTTTTTATGTCATATGTCTCAGATCTGAAATCTTTTTTGGCATGTACCATTAAGTTTATGTAAAAGAAAGTTTCTATATACAGTATTAATTTTTTTGGTGCATATGTCTTATCTCCCTTCTCCTTTGCAAATTCAGACCTTTACCCACCCCCCTCATTTTCTGTTTTTGTTGTCTCAAATTATCCCTATTTATGCTGTGAGTTCATTTCCAAGTTGTAGTAGCTATTGTCTTCTTCTCTTTTTAAACGGTTTTACCTTCTTTAACCATTATATAATATTTAAGTGGATAATACCCTATTCTGAATAAGATTTATAATTTCTTGCTTCTGTCTGTTAGTCATCTTACTCATAGATTTGTATATTTTTGTCTTGTTGTTTCAGGTAAAATAACCCCCCTAGGTATTTCCTGTAATGCGGGCCTTGTGGTGGAAAATTCCCTCAGCTTCTGTATGTCTAAAAAGGTCTTTATTTCTTCTTCATATCTAAAAGAGAAGTTTACTGAATATATTATTCTTGGCTGATAGTTTCTCTCTTTCAATAGTTTCAATATTTGATTCCACTCTCTCCTAGCTTATAGAATTTCTGCTAAAAAATCCAATGATAATCAAATGGGTTTTTCTTTATAAGTTACCATCTTCTTTTCCTTGGTTGTCTTGAGAATTCTTTCTTCGTCATTAATTTTATTAGTTATATTATATTATATTAGTTTTAATTATATTAAATTAACATAATTATAATTATAATA